TGAGGAAGAAGTGTTCATGCGGCAACCACCAGGTTATGAAAGTCACAGCACACCACATTATGTATGTAAGTTGGATAAAGCCTTATATGGCCTGAAGCAGGCTCCAAGAGCATGCTATTCCAGGTTGAGCATGCAGCTACAGCAGTTTGGCTTCACATCATCTAAGGCAGATACATCCTTGTTCTTTTATAGCAAAGGCAATATTACTATGTTTGTCCTTGTTTATGTTGATGATATAATTGTTGCTAGCTCAAGTCAAGAGGCCACTACTTGTTTGCTTAAGGATTTAAAGCTTGAGTTTGCTCTCAAAGATCTAGGTGATCTTCACTACTTTCTTGGCATAGAAGTAAAGAAAATTAGAGATGGAATACTTCTATCACAAGAGAAATATACAGCTGATGTTCTAAAGAGAGTGGGATTGGAGAATTGCAAACCGGTCAGTACACCACTCTCCACCTCAGAAAAGCTTACAATTGACAGTGGAGAAGCTCTTGGTCCAGAGGATGCAACAAATTATAGAAGTATTGTAGGTGCCTTGCAATATTTGACTCTTACACGTCCTGATATCTCCTATTCTGTCAACAAGGTATGTCAATATTTACATGCTCCTACAACCACTCATTGGACAGCAGTTAAAAGAATTCTAAGGTATCTTCAGTATACTCAAGGACTTGGACTTCAGATTGTTAAGTCCCCTTCCTTGATTGTTACTGCGTATTCTAATGCAGACTGGGCAGGGTGTGCTGATGATAGGAGATCTACTGGTGGTTTTGCTGTGTTTCTGGGATCTAACCTTGTGTCATGGAGTGCAAGAAAGCAAGCTACTGTTTCAAGATCCAGTACGGAGGCTGAATATAAGTCCTTGGCAAATGCTACAGCTGAAGTGATGTGGATACAAACATTACTTTATGAACTTGGGATTAAAGCTCCAAAAGCTGCACGGCTGTGGTGTGACAATATTGGTGCAACTTACCTTTCAGCAAATCCTGTTTTTCATGCACGAACAAAACATATTGAAGTGGACTTTCATTTTGTCAGAGAGAGAGTAGCTCGAAAGCTACTTGAGATCCGGTTTATTCCTACAGGGGATCAACTTGCGGATGGGTTCACAAAACCCTTGACAGAGAGAAGACTCGATGAGTTCAAGTACAATCTCAACCTTAGCAAGGCTTGAGGTTTAGATTGAGGGGGAGTGTTAGAATTATTGTATAGGGATAGAAGAGGTGTTGAACTTGTATTCGATTCTATCTCTTCTTCTCTCCTTATCTCCTGTAACGACCTTCTCCTGGTCGATCTCTCTCTAACCGATCTCCCTCTCTCTCGATCGGTTCTCTCTGTAAACTTATGTGCCAAGGCATTGCCTCAATATATACACGCGGCCCGAGACAAAGGGTTCTACGCTTTCCAAACTATCTTACACCTGCTTGATCAGAATTTCAAGGCCGCGATAGCCAGTTTTGGTGCTGCACAGATGAACATGGCCGGGCTCAACCAACCATTGCCTATTGTGGGGACTGTGTTTGGTAACTTTGGGTATGCAGCTCCAGCCTCCAGGTACGGTGGGGGTTCGGTTCATGCAATGAATTCCCATCTTATAACTAGTGTGGTCATTTACTTACTAGTCATATTAATTGATTAATTGCAGAATATGGGAGAGCGGCAAGCCAGCTGACTGAGAAGGCAGACACGTACAGCTTCGGTGTAGTGCTGCTGGAGCTCGTCACAGGGCGGTTGGCCAATGGGGTGGATGGTCAGTTGGCCATGTGGGCACGTGACAACTGCAGTAAACTGATGGCAAAGAAGCTGGAATGGTTCAAGATTGCTGTGGACAAGGGCATCCCAGATCAAGCACGGTACATGGAGGGATGGCGACCGTGTTCAGACTGGGTGTGGATTGCACTGTCGATGATCCGCAGCAAAGGCCGTCCATGCAGATGGCTCTCAAACGACTCCGCCACAGCCGTGGGCTTGGCCGATTCGGTGGCCTTCTCACCTGCATGCTATAACCTGTAAGGCCGCCGGCTAAGGCAAGTGCCTATTTTACTTTGGAAACATGAAAATAAAGAGTAAAGGACTTCCATACCGTTGACGTGAAAAATGAAGGGAAACGAAATGAGACATCCCTGATTGCAATGGGCACCTTTATATCAAAATGGTTCTTCCTCCCACACTTCAGTGTTTGTTGTGTTCCTGACTGCTCCAAGCAAGAATAAAATCTTGAATTCTGGAGTATCCTTAGTGATGTTAGTCTTTGGAGTGCTTGCTCATTTGGAACTTGCAAAATAAACTTTTTTGTTACAGGATATTGAGTTAAATAGGCAGCACAACATTCTCATGTTTCTGACAACAAACAAGCATATAGTGTTCCAAATGAGCAAGAACTCAAGTAACAACAGAATCTTGAACTCTTAGGAGTTATTCCCACTGAAGTAACAGCAAAATCTTGAACTCTTAGGAAGTATTCCCATTGTACATATTTGCAGGAGAGAAAATTTATGATCTTCTTGGGCAAATGCTGAATAGCACTATTTTACTAAATTGGATGATCACTTGCTGATAAGCTGTAGTACTAAATGTAACCTCCTCCCATAAGTACGTATGTAGATGTGTAAATTGCAGTTTAGGTTCTTTTTTAATAGAGTTGTAGGAAAAATATGATGCTTCGCCCTGATCATTAGATTTAGATTTGCGGTAACCATTATGTTTGTCTTGCAGGTTGTTTCTAGCCTTTTGTGTTTCTGCACTAGGGGAGTGCATTCCGTATTTGCATCAGACTATGATACTGTAGGAGCAGTTGCGTTCATCCGATAAAGCACAAGTGAAATGAGGTGAAGATGCACAATCTCTCTGCCTAGTCGTCTTCCACCTCTTTCGATTAATGCATAGATTCGGGTAGATCTCACTCAGCGTAAGGAGAGGGTGCGGTGATCTGTTCTTCGTGGGGTTGATTGATTTCCGCTGTGTTGGTTGCAGGTGAGGAAAGTGGCATGCTCGATGGAGTGACCACCTTGTTGTCTCGGAAGGGGAAGTGAAGGATGGGTTTGTCCTCGATGGCAACAACATCCAGATCATCTCATTCCAGAACACTTATCAACCAGGTGAACGAATAGGAGCCGGCTCCATCCTTTCTGATGTATACATGATTGTGTTACCTGAATAATTTTTGTGTTTTTTTTTGGCAGGATCAGTCAGACAGTCACACACACATGAATTTATTGTTGTCAGTAGCGTTCACCTCTGCAGAATTCAGCTACTCATTTCCTTTGTTGCTAGTGGCGAGGACTCGAGCAATTAGTATTTGACATAACATCATCCTGGGGGTCGCTTTTTATATTTACTTGCCCTGTTTTCATTGACTGGAGCTGCATTGGACGACCAACCTGTGATCAGCAGAACATGTACTGAACAAAGCATCTACAGAGTCGGTCCATGAGGACACCTACGACCTGCAGCAGTTCCCGTGATGACCACACGACATCGAAGCCGTTTTGGGGGTGGCTACTATGAACGGTACAGTTGGTCTGTATAGGCTTGCAGGTTAGAACAACAGCAGCCAGCAGTGGTGTTAGCTAGGTTAGTTTCTTCCTGAAGATACTCTGCTAAGCTACAGGGCAGTGATTAAGGGATGTGTGCTGATCACCTAGCATTCCACTTTGTGCAGGGGGCAGACACACTTTGTGCATATCCAAAGTTTGAGATTGTTAACGGGGCCTGCCGCCCGGTCTCATGTACAATTAATCTTATGACTTGCAAACAAGCAACATATCAACTTCAACACTGCCAAAAAAAAGTATCAACTTCAGCAATAGTACGCATTTCAATTTAAATCGGAAATCCATAGTGTCATGCTGCAACCATTCACTACAAAGAAAAGACCATCGAATCACGACTGAACCTAGCCAACAACACTTGTGACTGCTATTGTTCTAGCCTGCAAGCATATACACATTTTATTATAGTGGCCCTCGAAACGGGTTTGATATGGTGTCATCATGGGAACTGGCGTTGGCCGTAGACAATCAAATTCAAATGTGTAGGCTTGCAGAATCATGGATGATTTATGCGGCAGGAAGAATCACAGGTTGGCCCATGGAGATGCCTTGGTTTAGCACATGCGACATGGTAATTCAGCGGAGCTCCAGTCAGCTGGAGAAGGGGCATGCATTTAGAAAGTGATACTGCAAAATATAACAACATACCCATGATGATGTTATATATCAAGTGCTAGTTGAGCAATTATCAACAATACTCTGAAAACATGTACTCCCTCCAATCTAAATTAATTGCCGCAGCTCTAGTACAATTTTGTACTAAAGTTGTACTAGAGTTGCGACAATTAATTAGATTAAAGGGAGTAGCAGAATTTCACAGAGGTGAACACTACTAAATGTCAGAACTAGCAACCATCAATAGGACAGCAAAATGTTCTGAGGAAGAAAGCCAGAGCTCCCCACAATGTTGTACTTAAGCTCCGCCTCAAAATTTACACAACTGAGTCATCCTATATTCACATGCACCATTCGTGTGTGGTATGATCATTCAAAAAAAAAATACAACGAGCATCAGCCTGAAACTAATGCGCAAATCCCAAAGTCAGTGTATGGGTTTCCTCTTACTCACATCCAGTACTCTACTAGTAGATAACAGAAAAAACAGTGCCATAAAGGCTACGCCAACTGTGAAACTCAGTTACTCTACTAGCCAACGATGAAGCTACGGAACAAACAATCAACTGAATAGTAGCAAATACAGGAGTTCAAAAGTATTATCATACACAAACAATCAGCAAAACATCTGAACAGTAGCAAATACAGGAGTTCAAAAGTACTATCATACACACATAGACAATTACAAATCATCAATATCCTTTACATTAACTTCAAGGAAATACAAATCTCAGCCTACTATGCCGCTTCATGCTTATTCTGAGCTCTTGTTACTCAATTTGTAGTCCCCTTTCCTGCCCAGCTTTTCCATGTAAGAAAAAGGAAATACAAATCTCAGCCTACTATGTCCGCAAACACATACATCTGATCATATGTCTTGTCAACCATGCAGAAATAAGCAGTCCCCCATGCTCTCTTAAACAACAAGACACAGAACACCACCCAGAGTCCCAGAATAAATCCCAGAGCGAGTCCAAAGTAAAAGGTCATTGGCTCAAAGGAATGTTCATTCCCTTTTTCATCATCTTCCCTTGTTACATTCTTTCCTGGGCAACTGTTTGGAAGAGGAGACCCACAAAGACCACTGTTGCCACTGTACATGGAAGGTTCCTGTGCATAGAGGGTGTCAAGCTGACTTCCTGGTGGTATTCTCCCTGTTAGATTGTTATCAGACATGTCCAAGTAGCTCAAATAGGTTAAATCTGATAGGCTTGAAGGTATTCCGCCGGAAAGCATGTTCCTTGAGAGGTCAAGTGATTCCAATGCCTGCAAGGCCCCAAGCTTATTTGGGATTTTCCCACTCAACTGGTTGCACGATAGATTCAAGTTCATCAATGCATCAAGAGCAGCTATTTCTTCTGGTATTCTCCCAGTTAGTTGGTTGAAAGATAAGTCAACACTCACCAAATCCAAAACGCCAATACCATAATCAAGTTCACGTCCCTTAACGACCACTGAGGAGAAATTATATGTATAGAACATATACGAGTAACCACCATAAGGATATGAGTCAAGCATAGGATCCTTTACATACTTTCTTGTCATGGCTGTCACATTTGATAGGTCCCACGGTATGGCACCGGATAAGCCATTGCCTGCTAGGTTCAAATGGTGAAGGCGACTAAGATCTGAGATGGTAGGTGGGATTTCTCCAGAAAACATATTCTGGTTTAGCCGCAGAAATCGTAATGCATTCAAATCTCCAATCCACAATGGCAACCTTCCGGAAAAACTATTGCGTGATAGATCAAGAAACGTCAATTTTCTCCAATGTTTTAGAAACGATGGGAAGTTGCCATAGAATCTATTGTTACTCAACATGAGAAAGGAAATGTTCTTCACTCCAAAACACTGAGGAAGTTGTCCCTCAAGAAGATTGTTGCGTAAGTCCAAGGCATACAAGGCTTCCGCTTTGCAGAGAGATTCGGGAATATGACCAGTTATTTGATTGGAGATCAGCACAAATGAAATCAAATCCGGAGTCCCAATGTTTGATGGCAAATTTCCAGTTAAGGAGTTTTTGGACATGTCCAAGAAGGTAATATTTCTTGGTAAGTTCGGGATTTCATCAGTTAGTTTATTTGAATTGATAAAGAAAAATTGCAGCGACATGCATTCCATGTTTCGTGGCAACCTACCACTGATTTCATTGTTGGAGATGTGTAGATATGTGACCTTTGCAAATGTAGTGTTGAACCAGTCAGGAAGCCTATCAACTATACCTGTGCTTGATAACTCCACCCGGAGAGCATCCACTTGGAACTGAAGCCATGCAGGAAATGAAGGGCCTAATTGGCAAGAGGAAAGTTCTACTTCTTCTAAACTGAAGGGTGGTATCCAATCAGGATCAACTGTAATCCTCAAGGAATTCCCACTTAAATACAGCGACTTTAACTTCGTTAGACTTGCAAAATGTTCTTCAGTGAAATCACCAGTCAAGTTGTTGCCTTCAAGATTTATCATGGTCAACTTGCCGAGCATGCCGATCTCAGATGGCACAGGTCCACTGAGATTGTTGGAAGAGAGATCAAGTCTGCTTAAACTAGAGAGCAGCCCCACCCCGTGCGGTATGCCTCCATTTAGGTTGTTCACAGAGATATCAAGAACTACTAAGGTGGTCAAGTGTGCTGTCTGATCCGGCATGTTTCCGCTGATATTGTTGTAGCCCAAACGCAACACTTGCAGTTTGTTCAAGGGACACTGTGGCATCCTCCCTATAATATCCTTTATATTTCCAACAATTTGACACCAAGAAAGGTCCAGAATTTTCAGACTGCATAGGTTTTTGAAGCTTGTAGTCATCGTCCCCATGTTACGATTAAATGACAAATCAATGACTTCAAGGGATGTCATATGTGCCAGTGCATCAGGAGCTTGACCGTATAGTTTAGTTCCGGCAAGGTAGAGATGCTGGAGGCCTGTCAAATTCCAAAACCAACCCCTTGCCATCGGGTGTGCAAAGATGTTACCGGAGAGATCAAGCCTCTCGAGTTTGGTAAGGTTAAGATGTGGGAGCGACTGATTTGCAGTTGGAAGAGAGCAAGACCGAAGATTGAGGGCCTTCAAAGAAGGAATCATGTTGACAACATAAGGCCAATCAACTATCGTGCTGAGGTTTACTGAATTCATTCCAAGATACTGCAAATTAGGGATGCGTGCTACCCATGAAATATCTTTTGAGTACATATATGGGTATGATTGGCCTGAGAGGTCAAGATGCTGAAGGTTTGAGAGGTTGCCGAGCTGAGGGAGTACTCTGCCAGAAAATGGTATGCCGGAGAGGTTATGATATCTCAATCTCGTCAAAGAGCCCAAGAACTCTGGCATGCGGCCACTTGGGCCCTCGAGATAATTCATGCTAAGATCAAGGTGCACTAGACGATCCATGGACAGCAAAGAATTACTTATCTCGCCAACCAAACCTGTCTCTGGAGACAGATTACGAAGATGAAGCCTAAGGACATGGCTGGTCCGGTTGCTGCACTTGACGCCCCTCCACTGACAGCAGTCTTTCTTGTGCCAAGAGTCAAGAACACCCATGGGGTCGCTGGTGATGCCGCGCTTGAAGGACAGCAGGGCGTCCCGCTCCCGCGGTATGCAGCTTGCGCCGACCGAGCCGCCGGCCGGCCTGAGCTGAAGTGCATCGGAGGCCGGCAACTTGGCGGCAGCTAGGACGCATATGAGCAGGAGCTTGGTAGTGGTTGTATGCATGGCGAGGAAGTCGATAGATCCCTCTCTGTGCCGCTACGAACAGAGTTTCATGCTAGTTGTAAGCAATTTGAGTCCATGTTTCTGACTGACTGGCAATCTGACGGCGACCCTGTGAGCAAGCATGCACACACGTTTTTGGTCAAGTTTTCGTCAAGAATGGAGAATTTCCACACAAACTCCAAGGTCTGAATTCGTCTACTTGTGACATCCCCAGTCAGCGAATTTGACTGACAGCACCACTTGGTTTGGTAGAGGTCCACGCTTTTCCTTCCATTTTCTCGGCTCACTGAACGATATCAAGTGAAGATAATTTCAGGGCAGTTTTACATAGACCATGTGAAGAGATCCCTCCTCCTCGGAGAAGCCCACCGGCCTGTGGTCTGCTCTGCTGCTCCTTCAAGGCAGCTGAAAAGTGAAAACTACACTAGTTCTCAACTTTTCTGCAGCTCCATCGTCCCCTGGCAAACAAAGCTGAGCAAACAGCCCAGCTCAGTGAACTTTTGTTTCTTGTTTTCCGAACCAGCTTCATCGCTAGCTCTAACTGAACAGAGACAGAGATTCAGTTCACATCTCTCATGTGCAGCCTTACTGAATTGCAAACAAGCAACGGTAAAACGGCAATATATATGTATGTATACAGGGATTCTTGTTAGAAGCACAAATGAATGTTCGGAAATTCAGCTTATTCAATGCTAACTATAGTTACTTTCCTTTTGTATTTATTTCCTTATGGATTTGATCATTATTTTAATTTTCTTATTTTTGCCTTTTCTGATTGTCTTTTCTTTTCTTTTTTCCAAATACATGTTGCGCAGTTTTCATATGCACATTGAGCCTTTCTTTTATATCCATTGAACATTTCTCAAATGAATCATGAACATTTTCATAATACATGTTAAAAAAAAAATCTAAATACATGTAGAACATTTTTTTAATACATTTAAACTTTTTTGAATACAAGTAAAACATTTTTCAGATACACATTGAACATTCTGTAAAAATACATGATGAACTTTTTAAAAAAATACATGTTGAACCAGTTTTCAAAAACACGTAGAGATTTTTTCAACATATGACAATTTTGTTTTGGAAATATTATGAACAGAACTTTTAAAATGTGTGAACATTTTAAAATGTCAAACTTTTATTTGAACGGTCCAAATATCTTTTGAACTTGCACAAACAATTTTTTGACAGTACGTGTTCCTTTTATTAGTGTAAAAACATTTAAATCCTTGAGGCAAGCAGTTGCTACATCTCGCCGCCGGCTAGACAAATTCGCGCCTGCAAGCAGTTGCTACATCTCGCCGCCGGCTAGACAAATTCACGCCTGCAAGCAGTTGCTACATCTCGCCGCCGGCTAGACAAATTCGCGCCTCTCTGCGTACCGACCACCAAGGAAGCCTTCCTGAGTGGCTGTTTTCTTCTAAGAAAAGAGTGGGCCGTTTCTTCCTTTTTACCTAAAACAGAGTGGCCAGTTTTGTATTTATTTCCTTATGGATTTGATCATTATTTTAGTTTTCTTATTTAAGATGAATCGGAGGGAGTAAAATAATATTTGTGAGCAATTCTAACTATCGGAGAACACTTGTACACATCTCCTGCACTATGATTTGTATTTATCTACATATATATTCACTAGCAAAAGAGCCCGCGCGTTGCAACGGAAGAGAAAACATAACACACGCTCTTAACCCAACAACCATCACTCAAGATCACGATAGGTCCATCTTCTTTATTTTTGCGAGATATCATATTTGTGTTGCCGCTTTTCCTCTATTAGGTAGAGATATAGTAAATATGCCCATGCGTTGCAATGGGGAAAAACAATTAAACTATGTCAGGATGAGATAAGGACTTTTAAAATGTCATGTCATAAACTACATCTCATCTTGACCTAGCATTGCGCCATAGAAAGTTGTGTCAATTTTTCTGGGAGCAAGCATTGTATGGAATACAAAAACCCTTTTTTAACCGATGCGTCATGGACTAAATAAAATCATAGAACAACCTTTATGTATCCCCTAAAAAACATTTAAGTGATGGTTCGTCTTTTCGTTATTTACGGATCTGTTTGAATTTTTGCAAACATTTTCTAAAATTTTATGGACATAATTTTCAAATTGTTGAATATGTTTTGAATTCATGATCACCTTTCTAAAATCATGAATATTTGTTTTGAAATAATGTTTTTATACTATGCAAGCAGTTTCTTAATCTTATTTATTTTATGATTTCTCTACCATTTCCTGAGTTCGCGAACATTTTACGATTTCTATACAAAATTCAACTCACAACCTTTTAAAATTTGGAATTTTTCCGTTGAATTTAAAAGAGAAAAACATAAACAGAAATAAGAAGAAAAAAAGTAAAAAGAAAAGGAAAAGAAATCAGAATGGAGACATCACACCTGGGCGAACCGGGGATCGAACCCAGGTCCCCCACATGATGTGTCGAAGCACAGACCATTTATTAGGGTACCATTGTGTAATAAACAAACCCCGCGGCGGCCTTCAAGAAAAAAAACTGAATCATTTTTTTCACTTATAGGTGGCATAGTGGGTAATTTAGGGCAAATTCGAGGGTAGTTTTTATGACGTATGGCAGAAACCCAATTCTCTTTATTATTAGGTAGAGATATACTACATTAAACCTTTATCAGGACTTTTTTTGTGGACATGTATGCTCTAGAATGCTCTATCAGGATATTACAAAATTAAGATCTGGTAATGAAAACATATAAACACACAACAAATGATCTAATTCACCACAATAATCTATGAAGTAATGTGCATTTTGTCTTTATAAATTTTCTACCTAAGAGAGATTCATGAATGAAAGCTTTTATTGACAATATCTGAAACGAAATCTTAAAAAAAAATAACATAACACTTGTTGCAAAACATGATTTCACTTTAGAGTTAACAACTAATATCCATTGACATACTTATGTACTTTATTTTCTAATCATTGTAAAAAAAACTATACAAATTAAAACATTATTATGATGAACAATCATGATAAGTAAAAAAGTTGAATATAAATAAGTAATCACTATTATTTTGAACTCCTCAAAATGGTCACTATAGGTATGATCTTATGTCTATGCTAAGTAGAATATTTATTCACATGTGAAAGGTCATACATAAGGGAAATGTTTCCAGGATGATTGCATGTTTTATAAGACACTGTGTAGTTGTAACTTCTACATACACAGGTCCTTTTGTATGCGATATATAGGGATGTGAGCTTCCATTACAAAGTTTTAGCATGATCGATGTACACTAATCTGGCAAAGAGATGCAACGGATTTAAGTTTCGTGTACTATTTTTCCATCATTATTAGTGCTTCTTAGTTGCACTACAACAGACATCTAAAACAATTGCACGAAATTAGTGTGCTCCATAGTTCACTTGGAGAGAATAACTTTAATGCCTACTTTAAACTTTTTTCGCGAGTAAAGCTATTTTTATTTTAAATTTTCTTGTGACACAAAATGTTATCAGCAAAGTGATAATTGTACACATATTGCATATTCAGGGTTAATTTGGACAAAATGAGATATTTCAAATAAATTCTGAAAATATATATGAACTACTAAAAATAACATGCAAAGATATATACCCGTTGTGAGCAGTATTTTACATTACTGTCATCGGTGTGTCGGTACGCCCACCAAGACATACCGCTTCGAGCTCCGGTGCACTGCCTAGTGTTGGGAAATGTTCCATGGTAAAACAAAAAAAATCACCAACGAGGGGGAGAGTATGTCTACGTACCCCCTCGTAGACCATAAGCAGAAGCGTTTAGTAACGTGGTTGATGTAGTCGAACTTTTTCATGATCCAACTGATCGAGTACCGAACATACGACACCTCGCGTTCAGCACACGTTCAGCTTGCTGACGTGCTCGCCTTCTTGATCCAGCAAGACAGCAAAGTAGTGGATGAGTTCCGGCAGCACGACAGCGTGGTGAGGGTGGTCGTGATGATATCTCCGCAGGGCTTCGCCTAAGCACTATGAAAATATGGC